AACTTTAAAATCACATGATTGGAGCCTTAAAATCCATATGAATTAAAACAATTTAATTGTCAATTTATTATATGTTTTTTTAAAAATTTAAAAATCATAAATAATAATACCAATACAGTAGTTAATATTGATGCATTTATTGATACATCTTTTAATCGATCAGCCATAACTCACGGCTTAAAATAATGTGATACTTTATTTGTTTTAATGATTAAATAAGACTGAAACAAATGATTTCCTAAAAAGTAACGATACAATGTTCTTTTACTGACAAACTTTTAAAAGAAACTTAAAAAGTGAATTTAACTTGATTTGGAATCCAATGAAGTAATGAGATAAAGGTTTTTTTAAGGCGACCTGGTGTGCGTTTTCATGTGAATATCTAACAATTATATAAGGGAAATTTCTAAATATCACGAATCGATAAAAGTGGTAAAAATGTTCGATTATTTCGATTATTTGCAGGTTCACTTCATCATTGGCTAAGATTAGGTTTGAAATGTTGACAATTACAACATAAACTAACCAATTTAATTAATATTTTCAGAGAACGTGGTATTTCGTTTTTTTTACAAAAAAACAAAAAAAATGTAAGTTGCTTATATAAACATTAATAAACTTTGAGCCATATATAGTTTCGTGCACGGATGTTATCACGTGCGTTGTCTCTGTGCAATTAATAAGAGAACCGTTAATATAATCGTTAACATAGTTTTTTTACCTTAAATTCTTAATAATATCAATTTTTTATTTTTTTTTATTGATAAATATTTGATATATAAGAATAACTGTTAAAATTCACCCCCCACAAAAAAAGAAGAAAGAAACTTTATTTGGACGTAAATGAGTGATCTCATGTGTTCTATTTTTGTAGTATAAATTATTAGCCATAATATATGTGTACATTTATTTAAGTAATAATCCTGTAATATCAAAAAATCAAGCCATAGCGATAGAATTATGCAATCAAATTAAGCTAATGCCACATTGACGTTTCACAGAATTCGATTCAAAAAAAAACAAAAAAAACCAGAGTACAGCTAGAGTTGATCTCTACTTCAACTCCATATATTAGGGTGTCTGTCCGCTTTCTTTCCACTATCCTCTTTCATTCCCTCCTTAACAATTTTCTCACTTATATGACACTCGAGACCTTTTTTTTTTAACAAATACTTACTTGATTTAAAATGATTAAGGATAGTTTGGTAATGCGTATTTGCCTTCGAAGTTTCGCTTGGGTTTATTCTTTTGCTATCCCCATTCTATCATTTATTTATTACGTTGTTTATGTAACTCAAAGGAAATTTTTATTTGATGAGTTACTTCCCGACGCCTTCTCCATGGGAATTTTGAACTCTTCTTTTTCTGGTTTTCTGCACTATTGGCTTGGATTTGAGTTAGTATTTCTACTATATTTCCAAGTGACTAAGTCGAGATTTCAAGGTCATTTGCCCCCTATCACACCCTCTAAACAGACAAGAATTGAACTTCTTAAATATTGTTTTTGTACTATTGATAAATTCGATGAGTGGATCGAAGGTTGGTTTAATATTGGTCACAAAAAATCAACCGTTAATCAAATTTACAGGGATAACTTTACTGAATGGTATGTATTAAAGATAAAACAATGAATCTTTCCTACAAATATTCTTTTAAAAACGAAAAAAACCTTTGGTACTTTATGCGACTTTTTCAAATATTTTCTACATGATCCAATTTTTTTCCATGCTTCTTTTACATTTAAAGGATTAAAAAATGGTTAGAAAATATTTAAAAAGGTTGCATAGACCAAAAATTAATCCTTGCGAAAAAGAACTACCGTACAGGGACAATTAAATTGTTTTAATTCATATGGATTTTAAGGCTCCAATCATGTGATTTTAAAGTTGCCAATCATAATGCAAACTTTCACCTGATTTATAATACATGTGGATTATTTCACGTGAATAAACTTTTTCATCAATTAAGATTCAACCAATCCTGTACCCGAGCCTTTATTAATATATTCTTTAAATCCACATTTTTCTAGGCTATCTTGGGGGTTTTTTTCTAATAGCTTTGAAAAAGTTCGTAACAATCCTGAATATTTAAAGGAAGTAAATGAAATAATTGATACAGTAGAAAAAAGTAAAAAGATTAAGTTTCGTGAAGGATACAATCCAGATTGTGGATGTATTAAGCTCACCCTAGATCCCGTTGAAGCTATTCCTAGGCCTTTTGTTTTTTATGCTGTAGGTGTTTTATCTATGCTATCTATGTTTTTAAGTAGAAACGTAATTTAGATTTAGGGTGTAGATTAATTTTTTATATACCCTAAAATTATAACTAAAATTATAATTATTATAATTTTATCAAATCTATTTAAATGCGTTAACATATTTGAATTATATTTATTATGTTTTTATAATATCGTTATTAGGCTGTCTTCTTAGTGACTTCCGCATTCAATATTATCCTAAAATTTTATGGTTTCGAGCATTTTGGTTCAAATGAAAGTATCTTAAATGGTTACTGGTCAAGTACCCTGGAATTTGATATTCAAGAAGGTTCTCCTCCATCAAGAATCAGTTATTGGTATTATGACCCTCATTTTCACCACGATTCCTTCTCTCCGAAAAAAAGTCGGCAGAAACCGATCGTTTTTATTCATGGTGTTGGTGGTGGTTTATTTTGTTATTCTAATTTCATCAGAAAATTATGGAAATCGAATCGTCCTTTATTTTTGGTCGAATTACCTTATGTATCATTGCAAATGGTTGAAGATGTTCCAACAATGGAGGAAACTGTTCGTGAAATTGAAGAAATGCTTACTTCTAGAAATTATTCAAAAGCTACATTCGTTGCTCATTCGTTGGGCACAGCTGTATGTGCTTGGATTTTTAAGGAAGCCAGAAAACGTATTGGCGGTCTAGTCTTGATCGATCCAATCATTTTCTTATTACATCACCCAAATGTTGCTTATAATTTTAAATATCGAATTCCAAGAGCTGCCAATGAGGTATGATATATCTACTTCATACCTAGTCACCTTATATATTTTTTTTGTTCCTAAAATTTTTTTTATTCAAATATTTTATAAAGGGCGCAAATATTTCACTCCCCATTTTTGATATTTCTACTCCCATGTAGATTAACTCATCGAATTTCATCTACATGGATGTAAAAATATCAAAAATGGGGTTCGCGCCCTTTTATAAATTTATTTCCTAAAATTTAGTACCTTTTGTCATTATTGTCACGCGAATTATACACTTCCTATTATTTCTCTCGCCACTTCCATTGGTTTCAATGCATTCTCTTAATTACACCGCGTAATGTCCTTCCGCACAACACGTACGTTTATATATCAGAAAATGATAATATCGTCCCTTCGAAAGAGGTTTACAAGTACCTTTCTAAGCATAATGTGAAAGCTCACATGATGCGCAAATTGGATCATGCAAGTTTCTTATTTAATACTCACTGGGAAGATAAAATCATTGCCGACGTTTTGAAATGTTGTAATTCTAGAAAGTCTTGATATAGAATTGGTAAATTTTTTTAGTTAGATGAATATTTTATAACTTTAGTCGAATTTTTGATTACGAATAAGTAGATTTGATTGGTTATTATCTCAAAATTAAATATCGATAATAATCCAGAAAATTCTCAATTATTTTTTTTTTTTTGTAGCAAATCTAGATCTCGTAACCTTATATCTCACTGGTTACATGCATGTAAATTTTGTTTATTTTTTTTTTTTTAAAAAAAATGGTGCTATGCTAGTGCACATTCGTGTAACAATTTTTGTTTGTACATAAATAAAAAGAGAATTACCGGTAATACGTAACAATGTTTCCAAAGAAACAAAAATGTATAAACATGATGCGTAACATTTCCGAAAAAAAAAAGTCGCAGCATAATCTTCTCGAGTACGCCCATGGGGGTTATTTTGAAATAACAGATCAATTTTTCTAATTAATATAATCAAAAGTTTCTATTGTGAATAAAGTGCAAACTTTGACTGACCGACACAATGAATATTACATAATGAAGATTATCTGCACGTGATGATCGTAAAGATTCTTCTCGGGTATCATGTGCAAGCATATAGCATATTATGAAAGTTAAAAAATATATTATGAAAGTTAAAAAAAAAAAAATGCACGAGCAGAATTACTATGAAGTGCGCGTTATTTCTGGACACGTTTCAAAATCAACTATACTATTTTATGGGGCACGATTTTCGAATTAACGTTATTTCGAAAATATACGTGCTCTAATAAAACCAAAATTCCTCGCAAAGTTATTCTAACCTTTCATCTTATTCAATCATTAATCGGACATGTTCTTAAAAAATTTTTTGAACATGATTAGTCTATTACCCGAGATGGACTTCAAAAACAAAATATCAAGAAAATAAAAATAAACTAATGCAAAAAAGATAATAATTACTACATATATATTATGATTTCAAATCCTGGTATCTCTTTCGTAATGGTTTACTAGGTCAGGCAAAAATTAACAATTTCTCCTATTTTCTCCTCCTCAGAGTTTTAAGAATCGATTAATTTAGGCCGGCTAAGTTGACTAAATTGATTAATGCAATATCGATTTGACATACTATAACACATGTTTCATGGTTTAGCTTCTACAACTTCATGTACTATAAAATGTAAGCTTTTAAGCTTATATGTGGTACATAATACTTATAGTGACTATAATCAATCTAAAAGATGTTATAGTAATCTTTCAGACAAAAATAAATAAATAAAATTCAATTATTAAAATAAAGACTAAATAAAAAGATACTGTTTCATTGTTTTTTTTTTTTTTTTTAAACCTATTTTGTCTATGAGCTATTCGTCTGAGCTCTTCTATGACTATGAGTTATTTGTCTGAGCTCTTCTATGACTATGAGCTATTTGTCTGAGTTATTCATCTATGAGCTCTTCTATGACTATGAGATATTTGTCTGAGCTCTTCTATGACTATGAGCTATTTGTCTGAGTTATTTTCTGAGCTTTTCTATGACTATGAGCTATTTGTCTGACTATGAGCTATTAAAAATTGAAAATGGTTCAAGATATAATTTGATCATTATCGATATTTACATCATTAAACCAAAACATTATAAAAATAGTACACCATAAAGATTTGGTGTATAAAACTTTATCCTCCTGAAATAAAACCGTGCCAAAAGCTCTTTTCGAATTTTATTTATTTATTTTTTTTTTAAATTTTAAAAAAATTTTTTTTTGCCTTATAGTTGGTTGTCACTTAAAAAAAGAAAAATAAAGGAGTAAAGTGTTGATTTTTGATCATAAAGGTTATATACACGAATTTACGAAATATTTGTTTGGGGAGAAATAGTATTAAATATATATACGAATCGAAATCGAAAGAACAAATTATGAAAAAAGAAAAAAAAAAAACGACAAAGAATAGAAATGGAGGTAAAAAGTTAAAACATATTAAAATATCACATCCGTAGCAAAGGGGTGATTTTGTTTTTGTTTTAAGAAAGATGCCTATTCGGAGCCTCCTATGTGACTTCAGACCCCTATACATACCCAAGTTAAATATGAAGAAACGAAAAACCCAAAAATAAAAAAAAAGAAAAACGGTAAAATGTGAAAAATCATAAATGAGAATAATAATCCTCTATTGTAAGGTGAATGAACATCGATTCATAACCCTCATTGCTAATTTCGGAAATGATAAAAAAAAAACGAAATGAAAAAACGAGCGACCAAATCTCGGACACGAAAAAAAGAAAACCGAAAACGTTTAAGTATTTTACTTTTTACTCTCCATTTAAATTGATCTTAAACCATTTACAATTTCTTCAAAAGAAACAACCATAACGCCTTGTTTGGGAAAGATTTCGTCCATTAACACGTTTTGAACCAGATCATTTCCATCAAAGCAACAATCTCGTACGACAGTGATACTCATATCTCTGTCAGCAGCAGAACGAGTTGTTGATAAAATTACATCACCTGTTGCGATACCAGATAAAATTATGTGATGGATGTTTCGGGATTCGAGAATCATTTGAAGGTCAGTATTATAAAATGCATCAGTTCGGCGTTTCTTGAAAAATAAAAATATATGTTTGTGAACTCAAGATTCGGTTATTGACATAAATGTTGGAAAAACAAAAAACATTTTTTTCTTAAATACATACTTGAATTACAATATCATTCTAAATTTATATAAAAATTTTAATTAGATTAAAACCACAAATTTGCTTGAAATAACAGATATAAATAATATAACTAATCTTGTACTCACTTCTCTTGGTACCATCCCGTCAATGAACTCAGCTCCTTTAGTGCCATCAACGAGTCTTCCCAAATTTTTCAAGTTTTCAAAATAGCGGTTATTTGGAGAAACTTCAGGATAACCAGGACGGAACTATTTAATAATATAGATTAAAAATAGGTTTAAAAATTTTTTGGCCTATAAAATGAAAAATTACATTTCTTGAAAATAATTAATAAAAAATTTTATAATATAACTCACATAAAGACCAACAGAAAAGCAACTAATATTCTTCTTTTGTTGTGCTTGATGAACGGCCGTAAATAGTTGTTTTGAGCGTGATAGAAATTGATTTAAAGTATTGCCGGTTTGGAACCTGAATTTTATGAAAAATATTACATTATTAGATTTTTACAAATTTAACAAATATCAAAGATTCTCATGTATTATTCATTTTTATACATTTTATAACAATTATTATCAAATTTTATACATACATCCCGATAACGTCATTCTGATAATCACAAAATATGAATCTATGAATTTTATATAAAAATTAATAAAGATCAAAAACACATCAAGATTAACTTGATAAATTAAAATTGATTTATATATTTATTTATAAATCACTTGTCACATACGCCGCGTTCTCTAATGGGATATGGGGCGCTATGGTTAATACAGGGTAAATCCTAGAAGGAGTGTAAGGAGGTCCCATTGAGTTTGAAGCCCCAAACGTAATATAAGGTGAGCTAGAAGCGGAACCAATAAGCGCATTTGTCCCGTTCGTTCTGTTTGACGTAGAAGTTATAGACTGAGGAGTTGTATAGTTGGAACTGGGTGGCTGATGATCACATAAAACGGATAAACAGATGATATTCAATAAAGAATGTTTTGTGCAGAACCAAAGTAAAAAAAAATTTTTTTTTTGAAAATTCGAAAAAATGTGACAATAGAATTCAAGTCACAGAATGACGTCAGTCATTTATATTTTTCACAAATCTCAACTTTTTGAAGCACTTACCATACTAACTGTACTACTAAAATTTGAATGCTCTGGTGGAGACAATATTGTTCCAGTGATAGGCACTGATTGAGGTGTTATCTGTAAAGAAACATCCGGAGCACCCGAGCTATCGCCACTACGAACTTGATGACGATTTTTGAATTTTGATATCCACCCATTTGAGGCCTGAAACTCGTTCCGAAGCCCATACATTTGAGCAAATTCTAGGGCTTTTTCTTGGAGCTGTCCATCGCTGACGGCATTTCCTTGAGAAATGGTAGCCGTCAACCATGAAGCCAAGGCTTCTTCAATCTGTGGAAACTTTGGGGATTTCTGTGTCTTTTGCTTTGCATAGTTTGAGTTTGGGTCGATTGCTAACCATTTATCCCTTTGTTTCAGGATTTTAGTGATCGTACTCCGGTCAAGACCATATTCTTTAGCGAGGTCCTCGTCTCTGAGCTTCATATTTTCTCTTTTTTTAATGCATATCTCCTGTTTTGTAAGGGCAGTGATTGGAACCCGTTTCTTCTTTTGCTTCTGCTCTTGGGGCATCGGTGAAAAAGTGGTGAGGCTTGTTCGCAAACGTCACTTTGAAAACAAATAAAATTTTTTTTAAGTCCCAGTATGGAGCAAATTGTGGAAGTTTTATGATGTCACATTTATGCCCGCTAGTGTCATAATAAATTGGATCACAACTCTCACTTGACCTTGTGATCAGATTAGGCCAATCATCTCATTTGTGAATATTTTTTTCTATTTAACATGGTTTCGTAATTTTTTTTTGACCTCGAAAAAATTCCTTTGTTTAAAGAGATTACCAAAACCAGTCAACAAACATTCTCCACAAAATGAAAAAGTCATTGCGTCGTTGCATCTTCTCCATTTTTAATTAATCGATAATAGAGTTTCTGTAAAACGTGTCTGAAAGAACTTTAGAATGTTTGTTGCCCAAAGCTCTCCTTCCAAAAACAATTTGTCTTTAAAAAAATTTACTGTCTTAATTTATAGAAGACCATATCGCCTGTCTGTGTATCAAATCAATCGACCCAGAAATTTGGCTTTTTTTAACTTTAATTTTTTCAGTTTGAAATCTATGTGACAAGATGAAAAATAAGTAATTGTCACTTGTGATAATGAATCTTATTCGCCGAAAAGATGAGTACAATCATCCTTATTTACAAAATCCTTCGATTTTTTTTTTTTTTTCTGCCATGGAATAGTTGTGTGACATATCAATATAATTAAGTTCGCGATAAATGTGATTGTAATGAAATGGTTTATTGGTAATTTTTGTATAACTGAATATTTTAAAATAAGCTGTTCAAAGTGCATTGGCGATCTATTTCGTTCAACGTAAGTCATGAAAAAAAAAAAAAATCCTTAATCCCATCAAAAAAGAAAATGACGTTGACATAACAACGAATTCCAAAAACTTTTTTTTCTTTGACCTGTCGTATCACATTAGATGTTAAATGTGTACTCCAAAATGCATGGATGTTTAAGTAACCTATAAAAATAAACTTTTGTGTATATATGTCTATAAATATAATGGTACGTATATACTTGGATAATTAAAACTAGCTAAAGTCCGAAGGGAATAACATACGTACTCACATATATCTATGATTATTATGCGTATTATACGGTATTATACGGTATATACAGTATATATTACGAATTATTTATTATTATATGTACTGTACGTACATATTATTTATTACGTATCTGGTATTATTATGATAATATACCAGATACGTACTGTACGTATTATTATGATTAAATACCAGATACGTATTATTATTATCCGTAGTGAAGAATATTAAGAATATTACAAGAAAGTAACAGATTATTTTTAGCTACGTACGTACGTACGTACGTATTTATTTCATTATTAATATACTGTTCATATACGTACAGTATATACAAAGAAATTTTTTCTAAATGCATCGTCAAAATTTCAAAAATATGTACTTAAAGATGGTGTTCATTGATATACAAAATAAAATATATAACGATAGCGTTATTATAAATTTAAAAGCAAACTATTGTATATTTAAAAAAAAAATTTATATAAAGGATGTATTTATACAAATTGTATTTGAGTGCTGCAAAGTAAAAACCTGTAACTGATCATAATGATTTACTACGGTCAGTTACAGGTTTTTGCTTTGCAATACTCATTTAATAAAGATCTTTTTGTATATAATATATATTTTTAAAATTATAAAAAATTTAAATTTAATAATTATACTATATATATTATAATTTTTTTTTAATGCTGCTTATCACTTTTATTAGGTGCACAAGAAATCATCGGTGCCTTGGTTGTAGTATATTCTAATTAGAATATATATAGATACATGTACAACTTTAGCTATTGTTTATTTAAAGATTGCTATACTATTTATTATATAATACTGTAGTTATCCTCTATATACTATATCTAAGGTCTATCTGTAAATTTCTTATTTAAACTTTCTGATCTAAATTTCCCATATCAATTGATCTAATCTTATCTAGAACATAAAGTATATATATTATTTCATATCTCTTAGATCATTGTAAACTATTTATAGAACAATTATTTCTGATATATTTTTAAGAAATCACTTGCTAGAGTTTTTTAATAATTATTTTTATTATATAATCTAGTTTTTTTTAATAATTTATATTAAGTTCAAAAACAAGTACTTGCAAATTACTATAGCTATTATTAGGGCTGTAATATTTATTATATAATATTTTTTTATTAAGGGGATTACCCCTTCTTCCTACATCATATATATTATATTTAATATATATATAATATATAGTATTATAATCAGAGGTTTTTTTCAATTTTTAACAGCTACTCTACCTTGTTTAGTGCATCGAGTATAATCCAGGTTTGCATAAAGAGAGTTTCTCACTGCATTACGAATACCAAGTAGAATTTTCAATTATATAATATAATTGGAAATTCTACTTTGTATTTGTAATACAGGAAGAAGCTCTTTTTATGGTATTATTCAATTTTTAAGGCCTAAGAATATAAAAGACCCAGGGTACTATTTGCTACAAATTATAGTATATTGCAGATCTTTTGTTTTAATATTCTAGCAGCCTAGTTAATAATATATCTTTTTAAATATTTAGCTTATTTAGTTAACTAATTTTAAATATAATTTATTTCAATAGTTATTATTAAAAATTTATATCATTTTTTTTTTTAAGTTTTGACAAATAGATATTTATTTTTTTAATTTTTCAGATTTATATAATTATAAGAATTTATTTTAGATTTATATTGCTCAATATTAGTTTATATATTTTTATATAATTTATATATTATATAAATACAGTATCTATAATTTTAGCCAAAACCTTTTTTAATGATTCTTTGGTCAACAACAAAAAACTAAATTATAGTAAAATAATATAGAAAAATAACAAAATAATTATAAAAATACTCTTGTATTATACTAGCAAACTTGTTATTAATAAAGTTTATATATAAAATATTAAGAAACAGATATATAACAAAAAGCAGATTTGTATTTTAGGTCAAACTTTTTTCTATAAACTGTTATTAACAAAATTCTTAAATATAATACACTAAAGTGCAAATATTATAAACAATTTTTACAAAAATCAAGTCTTGTAATTTTTTGTTTTTTCAAATAGACTTTTCTATACATTTAGTATTTAAATTAGAGAGTTATTAGAAATAGCAAAAAAAAAAAATAGATTTTATTATACTTTTAATATCTAAACTAAAAGAATATTTTAGAACCAATATCACTACGAGTCTCTGAATAAAAATATTTACTAAAAACTAAAAAACTAAATTATATAACTGTAAAATAAGTATTTTAGTTTATCTTCTCTAAAAATCAATATTACATATACCAAAATAGTAGTATTGTTTACTTCTTAATTGATATAACAGAACAACAAACATATCAAAATATATGTCTTGAATATAACAGTTTAATTAAATAATGCTTTAAGGCTTGGATTAAATATCAATCTTTTTTTATAATTATAGTTAATAAAATTTTTTTATTAGTTTTTAACTTTCATATACTATTTAGATAAATTTAAAATAAAAACTAGTTTGTTTAGTAATATATAATTTTTACAAGTCTTTTATAGGCTTATAAATATAATATTAGAATAAACAAATTTTTTTTGTTTTTAATATTTTTTTATCTTTTCTTTTTTTTGATTATATATTTTATTATTATTCTCTATATCTTTGTGTTTTTTTTTTTTTTTTATCTATATTTTCTCTAATTTGACTTCTTAATAAAATAATACAGTTATTTTAGCTAATTATCAAAGAATTTAAATTTTTAGAAAGTTAAGGATTTAATATGAAACAAAATTGTTACTAGATAGTATTATATCTGAGCTATAAGATCAAGTAAGTTTTTTTGAATATAAATATAATATAGAAAGTTTTATATTTGCTAACAATAATTTTTCAATATTTCTAATAAAATAAAGAAGATATAACTGCTAAAAAAAAATAAATATCTACAATTTTTTAATCCTATTAATATTACTAAAATAATAAAAATTTTAGTTTAACTAATTAATAAAAAATAATAGCTATCATATAAGCAAAATATTTAAAATATTATTACTATAATAAAATTTACTAAAAACTAGCAAACTATAGCAAATTTTAAAAGACACGAGTGTAAAGTAGAAGATCTTTTATTTAAAAGAAATAAAAAAAAAAAATAGGAAAGAAAAATATAAAACAGAATTTAAATTCAATAGCCTTTTAGATACTATAAGATAATTAGCAATAGGTAATTGTATTTAGGGTTAAACCTATTGGCCAGTTTGTATAGGTCAGATATAGCAAATACTTGCCCTTTACAAGGACTATTAGACTTAATATCCTTAGATATAACCAGAGGAAAAAAAGCACTAATAACCAGACCATTGATAGCTATATGTAGTCTTTAAATCCTAATAATATAAAGCTAGTATTTGCCAAAATACTATTAACAAAATCAGCTTTCACTTTATATTATTATCAAGAAAAAAATAAATAATAATAAAAGAAATATAAAATAAATAAAATAGAAAAATAAACAATAGTTTTTATTAATAGTATCAAGAAAATAATAAATAAAATATAATTTTATTAAAAGAATTTTAGATAAAGACAATTCTGTTTTTTAGAAAAGCAAAAAGCTACTCTTTTTATAGCTTTTAAGACTAATATTCAATTGGTTTTAAGGCTATCATATGTTGTAGTATAATTTTAGACATTTCAAAATGTTTGGAAGGCCTTGGCAAGATAGAAAATTCAAATAGAATTTTCTAAAACACTAATAAAGAATACCAAGCCAATGCTGAGCAAAATTATATTTATCAATACTCAGTGCTCTATTACATATTAACTAAAAATAAAACACATATAATTGTGTAGTTCTTATATTAATCTACAAATCCTATTAGGTATTTGATATTTAAAAGCTTTTTTAAATATGTTGTCCTATAGCTAACTAAAAATAACTATAATAAAATACAGTATAAGAAATATATAAAAAAAG